GGATAATCTCCAAATTTTGTCGCATTCGATTCGCATTTAAACCTGTAGAAAATACGTTCCCTTCTTTGCCATCCTCGCCCAGGTCCATCATCGGTGAAAATTGAAAAAGTGAAATTTGGGCGAAATTTCGGAGCATCTTCTTTAATGGATCTACAACTTTATCTTGTTATCGTTCTATATGTCTTATCTCTGAATATCTATCTTGAGCTGGATTCCAAAACTGCTTCTTTTTTCCCTAAAATCGAGTAAAACGATTATTTCTGGCTTAATATTATTAATTTTTTCAACGAAATCAACTTCGATAACGTCTTCGATAAATCTGTACTCAGGCAACATTATCCAACATTACAATATGTTACAGCGTCCCATATAATCTCTAACTATACAGTTGTACCAATAGAAAAATTAAACAAGATTTGAGAACAAGTGTTAAGTGTTTTATATTTTACTAAACTGAATGATTAAATAAACTAAAACCGATATTTGTAATTAAATGCTTTTCCTATGCTTTATGCTTTTCAATCTTTAGTCAGTAAGTTTTATGAATAAATTATCAATAAAAGGTGTATTTCATCTTATCGAGAGCTATTGCTTGTCCGCACAAAAGATATGACTTAAAAGTCTTTCTGGTTCATGTTTTCTTGCTGCGGCAATTTTGACTGAAAATGGATGTCTCAGATCGGTTCTTCTAGTTAAAAAGGCTCTGCTTCTTCAAATGAAACAGTGTATAGCCATGAATGGAAGGAACTGCAAAGAACAAGAAGCAATGAAAATATTAAGAAAATTTCTCTGAATAGTTGATGGATAAACGATGAAACCATCGGAAACATTTTGTAATGTTATAAGAACCTCGTCAGCTGTAATAAAAGCCTCTGGGATAATAATACGTCGAATCGCACTGTCATCGAGTGTTATCTCGAACGAACCCATCCACTAGATCCAATCTGTGTTTCCTCAAAAGGTTCCTCAATTTCCTTCATATGAGCGAGCAATCTCAAATCTGAACAAATCTTATGGATTGTTGAACATAAAACGTACGCTTTCGAAGCACATCTTTTTCAGTGTCACTTTAATCTAGTTTTTTACAGTTGATTTCGAGGATAATTATTTAAATGATTACAGAGTTTCGCGTTATTTAATTAAGGAATCTCTCGATGTATGGAAATCATAAGTAATATATATCATTGTTTTAAGTGCACATTGGAATTGATAGAATCAAAAATATAAATCAAAATCATAAATATCAATATCAAATTAGAGAGCTGGACATAAAATTATTCATTCAATTCGGTTAATGGGAATGATTCTGTATTCATCGATTATTTGAGTTGCAGCCCGCTTTCCTTTAGAATCAATTAAATTTGCAATAAAATGGTGATTTAGAGTCAAATTAGGGAATAATGAAGCAGTTGTGTTATCCATTTCTAGAACTACCCACTTTTGCAACTGCCATAAGTTACAGCTTTTTGACACAAAGTCAAATAGACGAAGATATTTAAGAGTTCTGATCATTTTTTCCATTTCTGCCATCACTCTTGGATAGTCCACGTCGGGCTCTACAAATGTGCAATTATTACTAACATACAAAGCACATTCATCTTTTGCATACTTTTGATAAATATCTGATACATTAATTGAATGCACCCACTGTTCATTATCACAATAATATCTACAAAAGCGAGTTGAATAGTCCATCTGTTCATTTTGGACAAGAGCTTTGAACTCTTTCATGGTCAGATTGTGAGGGTAAAAATCAACCGAAAGAGGGTCGACTTCGATAGATTTAACAATTTTTGATGTAGCATTGTCAATATCCTTCTCTATCAATGTCAACATAACGACGTCTTTCTCATCAAATGCTGATTTCGATGTACCACAAGAGCTTTCCAGTTCCAAGCTCATATTCTTGGTATATTCGGTGTTTTCATGAAACAGGTTTACTTCAGTTGGAAAAGTGCGAATCACCACATCATTAGCCAGAAACTGGACACCCATAATATGTGGAAGTCTCTCAGAAAAGTTAAAATTTGGCTCCAGTCGTCCTGAATGAGAATATTTTTTATTAAAAATTTGCTTACATTTACATTCGTTAAGAATTAGGTTTTTTAAACCATTAACGAATCCATTTTTCATTATTTTCCTTGGCGTATTTATAAAAATTCAAGAAATCAATTAAAAAACAATAGCTGAAATTGATCAATTCAAGGAAAATACGCTGACTGGCAAATAATGTAAATAATATTTGGGACATTTCGCTTGCGTGCAAGAGGTTAGATAAATAAAAATACATGAATAATAAGATGTACATAAACCAAAGATTAATGATACATTAATCTTTGACATAAACTTACTGCGATCATAATATGGAAACTTTTTCTGATAACCTTTATCGTAATATATATTTCTAGATGAATCGCCGAACTGCAACACTAACAAAAAAAAGAAAACTTTAAAATCCATTGAATTTGGTTTAAATTGATTTCAACCGATGAATTTGAGTCAACAGCAAAATTTTTCATTTATCCTGGTAACTAACCAGCGGTAACATTTTCCAGTAACTAGAGTTGATTGTCGCTTCCCTTTATGACCAAGTAACCAGACCATCTTGAGGGCGAAAAATAAATGTTTTATTGGAATTCGGTCAAAAATTAAGAATAATTTGACAAAATTAATTTTTCAAGTTGTAATGATTATTACAAGAAAAGGTAGGAAATCGTTTGATTTTGATCTCTTCAAATATTTAAGTTTCTAATTTTGTAACCATAAAATAACCGATCAGTTTTATTCTGCGCTTTTTTGTACCATCTCAACCCGGACTGACCCTTTCTTTGTCTGCCCGCACCCAATTTTGAGCAAAGCTTACATAAAGGTCTTTGTTTGCTTTCGTTTACTCCCAACTTAGTCCAATAACTTTATAAGTCATCTGGTATTGACATACATTTTGCTTTGTTTTCTTTACTTTGAACAAAAACTCCAATCGTTTAACCGTTTTCGTGCCAAACACTTTCGTTCATTTCAAACGACCATTTGCTCAATGGACCCAAAACTTTATCTAATTCAAATTATCAATGTTTTATCTTTGATTAATCTGTCAAATCAATGTCAACTTGCTAACTGTTTTGGTTCTAATTGTCATGAGTATTATATGAATATCAAGACCAGTGTTGACTTACAATGGATGCATCGTGAAGACAATGCTCAATGGAGAAATGATAGTTTATTTGAAACTATCGTTGATAGAGTGGGCAATCGATGCAAAGTACAACTGGACCACAGAGATAATTGTTATCTTTATTTGGTTAAAAATCAAACTAAACCAACGCTTCATGGACCAATAAAGATCGATCCAAAGCATATCGAACTAAATATAGAGTTTGATAAGTTGAATAGAGTTTTGGAGGATCCATGGCATAAGAAGTTCGAGAAAAGGCTGTTTGAAATTTACTCCGAGTATCATGCACGTTGTCATCTAATGAGGTTGGCATATAAAATTCCTGATTATTTTTGTTATACTCCTCTGAATATCTATCTTGAACTGGATTCCAAAACGGCTTCTCTTTTCCCTAAAATTGAGAAAAACGATTACTTCATGCTCAATATTATTAATTTTTTCGATGAAATCAACCCCAATAACGTCTTAAGCAAATCAAAACTCCAAGCGGTTCTATTAAATTTTAGCTCCAAGTGGGATTTTGTTACAGCGTCCCATGTAATCTCCAACTATACAGTTGTACCAATAGAAAAATTCAACCAAATTTAAAAGTTAACATTTAATTTGTAAAAACAAGAAATTCGCTGAATAAAGTTAATATTACTTTAAACATTATATGAAGCTAGTACATGTACCCAGACATATCAATGTTTGACATGAATATCAGACTGTTTCAACTTGCATCTATTTGTGTTTTGTGTCTCTGCTTCGTTCATTCAGTCTGCAATCAGTACAAATTTATTTCATTGCTTTCAACTTGGTTGAAAATTTATTTTTAAAGTCAACCAAAACCTTTTCGCTTGTCAGACCTTGTTGTGTCACCAAAACTCAGCCTCTGAACAAGAGTAGACCGAACCTTTTTTAACGCTTTTTATCCGTTTGAAATTTGATTTAACTGGAACAGTAAACTGAATGATATGCAACAAGTTGAGTAAATTTAACATTTCAGCCTTTTGTTAAAATCCGTTTTGCATCCATTTTTTGCTCATTCCCGATCTCAATTTCCCCCAAATAGCTCTAAAAGATGCTATTCATGCATTGAAAAAGGTTTTGGTGAACAAGAACCCGTCAGATCACTTTTGCACTTTCAAAGTCTTACAAGTCTTGTTAGTAAGCTTAAATAAAAGTATCAGTGCCAAAAGTGGTATCTACGGTAATTCAATCAAATCTGATTCAACCTGAACTAATCTGTTGATTGTTAATCCTTGATATTTGTCAGCCTAATCTTTTAGCATCGATCAATCAAGATTTTAAGAATCTCTAGAAACAATTAAAAGTCTAATTTTACTCGATTCTGTTATTATTTGCCTGATTATTTTATCAAATTGCGCGCTTCTTGGTATCGAGTAGTTAATTTAAAGTATCGAATATTATCAAGGAAAAGTACCGATACTTATACTTGACAAAAATATCGATGAAACGCTAATGTTAACAAATTCAGACCTGATTTAGGTAATTAAACTCAGTTATCTTCCCCAACTTGAGGATCTACTCAGCTATAGCTGAAACCAGACGGGTTCTCATTTACCTTTACCAAAACCATTTCGGTGAGAGGTTCAAGTTTAAGTAGATAGTATCGATATTTGTTTGTATCGATATTATCACATGGAGATACGATGTTGGTAATGTTTGTTTCTTGAGCATTGTTTTTTCACAAATCTTGAAATGTTTTGATTTTTTTTTGCATAATGAAAGCTTCGTGAACAATTATTTCCTCAACTGTGTTAACTGTACCAATCTACTATAATCATGGCCACACCAACTAATGATTTAGAAGGCTTACCTGGTCAAAATAATGATGCTTTTGCCGTAAGTTTCTTTTTTTTTACTTCAGCTCACTATAACTTTAATTCAATGATTAATGACACTTCATCACTCATCTTGATTTTTACAAATTTCAGGAATTGACCAAAATTTATAGTCCTGATAAATGGGATTATAACAAAGCATTAGTTCCTTTTATGCTTGGAAAAGGAGTAATGAGCAGAGAGGAAATATTAGTGGAGAAGGCAATGGAAAGTTGTGCTTTTCGAACCGTCATGAGTGGAGTCGCTGGTTACGGATTTGGAGCAGTTATGGGCTTGTTTTTAGCCTCTGTAGGTCCACAGGCAACTATGATAGAACCTGAAAAACAGACTGTTAAAATGGTGTTGCAGGACATGAAAGGAAGAATGTTGTCAAATGCAAAAAGTTTTGCCATACTAGGAGCAATGTTTGCTTGTACAGAATGTGCTCTTGAATCGGTTAGTAATTTTAATCTATTTTTCATGAGTTTGAATTCAATATTTTATAACTTGATTTCATAACTTTTTGTAGTACCGTGGTAAAAGTCACTGGACAAATGGTACTTTAGCCGGTGGAATAGTTGGTGGTGTTATTGGACTACGAGCTGGTCCTCGGGCTGGTCTTTGGGGTGCAACTGGATTTGCTGCTTTTTCAACTTTGCTTGATTACTATTTCAGAATGTAGTTTTATTATACTTTCGTTTAAACTTTTGTGTTCAATAGATGCCTATCTTTGTTATACTCATCGCTCATCATTCGTGAATTGCCCATCTTGGGATCCCACTGTGAAATTAGAACATCTTTCCGAGTTTAATAACAAATAATCCATCATATTAATCGGATAGTTGCAATTAGCAGGACCCGGTGAATAAAGTAAATCTCCGTTGAAGATATTTAAATCAAATTTATTTTTTGTTTAAAGAGGCAATAGAAAACTTAAACTGAATTAGTAATATAACTGAAAATATCACAATATCCTCTTATCAATCATTGAAAATAACATTGAACATCTAATAAGACTAACAAATTAGATAAACGTGATATATAGCGATTGAATTTATTTAGTAACACTCGCTTTAATACTCATCACATTGCGATAGGGATGAATTGCTGGTTCAACTTCACTTCTGATAAATTCAATCACCTGTCGAGGTGCCCGACCAACAAATGAACGGGGATCAATGAGGTCCTTTAATTCTGCTTTGATTGGCTCGAAATATCTGTGATTCTCAATTCTATTTAATAGGTCATTGTTTTTACCATATTGTTTGACTTGGAGAGCTGCCTCATGAGAGAGTTGTCGAATCATTTCATGACATTCCTGTCGATTGGCACCTTTTTTTACCATAGCCAAGATGATATTTTCGGTTGCCATGAATGGAAGCTCCTGCAAAGAAAAAAAAACAAAGGAAATGTTTGAAAAATGCCAACTATTAAAGTGAATCAATCATTTCTTACCTGATTGATGTTTCTCTCAATAACTGCTGGATATACAATGAAACCTTCGGAAACATTTTGTAATGTTATAAGAACCTCGTCAGCTGTAATAAAAGCCTCTGGGATAAGAATACGTCGAATCGCACTGTCATCGAGTGTTCTCTCCATCCATTGAACTGAATGAGTGTTTAAAGCGGAAGCCATGACACCCATAAGATGCCTGGCTAATGAACAGCATCTTTCTGATCTCATTGGATTTCGTTTATAAGGCATTGCACTAGATCCAATCTGTGTTTCTTCAAACGGTTCTTCAATTTCCTTCATATGAGCCAGCAATCTCAAATCGGAACAAATCTTATGAATTGTTGAACCTAGACCAGCTAAGGCACCCAAGACTTCAACATCAACCTTGCGAGAATACGTTTGACCGGTAACAATTTGACTTTGGTCAAATCCAGAATACCTAGTGACTAGTTCATCAAGTTTTTTAACCTTCTCTTCGTCATTGTTAAACAGTTGAAGAAATGACGCTTGAGTACCAGTTGTTCCTTTACATCCTCTAAATCTCAAGTCATTTCGGACACGTTCGAAGTTTTTTAGATCCATTAGTAAATCATTGATCCAAAGACAAGCTCTTTTACCGACAGTCACTAGAAAATAGATAAAAATAGCAGTTTAAAATAATTGCAATGAGTGATGAAAATATCAAAGCATACCTAATTGTGCTGGTTGAAAATGTGTATAGCCAAGGGTAGGCATATCATGGTATTTCTTGGCAAATTTGGTGAATCTATCAATACAACGAGCCAACCTGGGTAACAATATATTAAATCCATCTTTTATTTGGATTAGATCTGTATTATCTCCAACAAAGCAACTTGTTGCTCCTAAGTGAATAATGGGCGCTGCCTTTACACATTTTGAAGCGAACTCGTGAACATGGGCCATTACATCGTGGCGAGTCCTTTTTTCATCTTCTTTGACAAATTCAAAATCAATTTTGTCCATGTTATCTTCCATCTCGGATATTTGTTCATCACTAATATTGATTCCAAGTCCTTGCTGAGCTTTAGCCAAATTTACCCAGAGAAGTCTCCACGTTGTAAATTTTTTAATATCACTGAAATTTTGCCTCATCTCAAGACTTCCATACCGCTGAGATAAAGGTGATTGGTACAATCCGTGTGTTGAGTCCATTTTAGATTTCTTCTTTCTGTTAGCCAGGTGAATTATCCAAAAGTTGAAAGCAAACTATTAGAGAAAAAACAAAAATTTTAATTGGTGATCAACAAGAGTCAATTGAGCATTAATTTTTGATACAACAATAAAGTAAAAATCGTTAAATAACCTTCTCGAGTAAGCTTCAATTGCTTTGAAGATGATTGAATATCACTGTTATGATAGTAGATAAGGTAGAGTGCTGAACAGAGAGCAGAGACTTTCTCTTTGGTAAAGAAGCCTAAGACATATGTTTTTATCTGACAGGGTATCTTGATTCACGTAAGATAGTGAATGAAAGATGATAACGGTTGATTAGATCGCAAAGAAACTACCACTTCGAGAGCCTCACCAGATGAAAAGTTAATGGTTTTAATAGATTTATCTATCTATGCTAAAAAATAACAATAATAGAGATTTCATCTCACAACTCGAATAAGATTACCGACAATCATAATAGTTTCGAAATTAGAAACAAGAATTGCATGAGGAAAAACGACTTACCAAAGTTGATAATGGTTCAGATTACAAAAAATTTTAACACTTACAGATGAAAATATTGACTCTTTTACAGTAAATTTACAAAAATTTAAACATAGTTTAAGATCGAATTGAGTTATACATGCTTCAGGAATCGTTTCGGAAGTAAGAAAATATCCAATGAAGACATTTAAAAGTCATAATACACCAAAAAAGAGGATGGACGATGCTACAAACTAAAATGGAAGGAAAAATGTGAGAAGAAGAGAGAGGCTGAAGCTAGAGAAGAGAGGGAAAGATAGGTAGAGACACAGCAGTGATGAGAGTAAAGCTATGAGTTGTTTTTTTCTTAAAGTGTATAAAGTAAAAATTGAATATGTTTAATTATAAACCTTCTAGTACCATTATTTACGTGTGTATTATTATCAACCAATCTTCCAAGGCGGCAATCAGGTAATTAATCAGATTGAAGGCTAAAATAAGAGCCAATTTTATTGTCCATATACCCGGTTAAGGCCTGTTTTTGTATTGTACTTTGCTTCCTTAGCCTTCTTGAGCCACCTATTCTCTTTCTCCTTTTCCCATAAACTCTTTTAATATGATTGCTTTTAAAACCATTTGTTTTATTAATCAACTAGCCGGTTGATTTTTAATTGTATTACTCTGACCATAATCACCAATTTTACCTATTTTCTCCTGGTTCAATATGTCAATATAATCATTATTTTATGTTGAGGCCTTCTTTGCTACTATACTTTTACTCTTTCTTCATTCTCTTGCCTTTCCTTTTCTCTTTCTTTTTCTCTTCACTTTCTCTCTTTTTTTGAGGTTTGCAATTTTTTAAAAACAATCATCCCGGATAACTTATTCTTATATTATCTTTTAAATTGAAACTTGAAGCTTGAATATTAATCGATTTCCTATTTCTATGTCTTCTTACAGATAGATTATGGCCTTTCAGTTGATGGTGTTAATTTTTTTCAATTGAAATTTAACCCTTTCTTTCATTATTGAAGCGGACCTGTTGGGAAAAGTGACAATCTGTTTATTTTGCAACATCACGAAACCATCAAAGTTTATTCCGCTGAGTTGAAGTTGACAATATTGTTGTTTTTATCTCATCAAGTTGATCTTTCTATTACCAAGAAAGGACTTTATTAACCTTAAAGAAAATCTGTGATCATTATTTGTGTATCAAACATTTATCATCATGCATTCATTTCTGACTATTCAATGTTGAAAATTATTTCCCGCAAACAATATTTCTAACTTCATAAAAGATCTGTTTCTGTTTGTCTTTTGATGATCCATAAACATTCAATATCTGCAAGTGACTTAAATTGTTTTTCTACGTCTGGCGCTCACAATCGAGGTCTTAATTTGTCAGTTTAACTTTTAAAAATGGTTTTAAGCTCAAATGACATTGATGTGGTTGAATTTCTAGCCAATCTTAAAGCTAGCAAACCACCCTATGAATGTCCTTTTCGAGAATGTGGAAAAATTTACAAAAGTTATATAGGAATGAGATCTCATATGTTAGGTTTTAACCATGTCACTGGAACAAAAGACAATGGATCTCCAAATTTAAACCAATCAGGGTAAGTTGAAGCTTTTATTTTATCGCATATAGTATCCTCATTGGTACACTTTTACTGACTTTTAATTTACCTTTTCTAACAGTTTTGGCAAAAAGGGTAGAGGCCGCTGGCATGGTCGTCAATGTAGTAGATCTCCTTCTCCTTCTGATTTCATTAAGAATCCTGCTAGAGAAGCCCTAACTTACGCCGAAGCCCAAAGAATGGTTGAAATAGAAATAGATGGAAGAACCCATCGAATCAACATAAATGAACCTATGAATATAGTTCACATTGATGCAAAAAATGGCTTTAGTATGAATGGATCCGTGGAGGAGACTAAAGAAGAAAATGGAGAAGCGGAGAAATCTGAAGAAATTAATCAAGTGAAAGGTGGTAAATCTGGTAGAGGAGGTAAAGGTGGAAAAGGTGGTAAAGGTGGTAAAGGCGGCAAAGGAAAAAATCGAGGTAAAGCTAAGTTTGGCAGGCCATCAAAAAACAAAAATCAGACTCCTGCAGAACCTCAAACACCATCAGCCAATGGACCTGTTTTACCTGCTCCATCTTTTCGCGTTCTCTCTGACTATAACCCACCCGATGCACCACCTAGACCGACCTCTTATTTCAGGTTCATCGATAAATCTCCTGATGAGTTGGACGAAGAAGTTGAATATGATATGGACGAAGAGGACTGTGCCTGGCTTGAATTGATAAACTCTAAAAGAAAATCTGATGGATTGAATGAAGTACCTGCTGATACTTTTGAACTTCTAATGGACAGATTAGAGAAAGAGTCTTATTTTTCAAGTCAAAACAGTGGTAAAGAAATGGGTCCAGCTATAGATGAAGATGCAGTTTGTTGTATATGCAGCGATGGCGAGTGTCAAAATACAAACGCTATTCTATTTTGTGATATGTGTAATTTAGCTGTTCATCAGGAATGCTATGGAGTTCCGTATATACCTGAAGGTCAGTGGTTATGTCGAAGATGTCTCCAATCTCCATCTCGAGCTGTTGACTGTGCTTTGTGTCCTAATAAGGGTGGAGCTTTTAAACAAACCGATGACAATCGTTGGGCTCATGTTGTCTGTGCTTTATGGATACCTGAAGTTTGTTTTGCCAACACTGTTTTCCTTGAACCAATTGACAGCATTCAAAACATACCCCAAGCAAGATGGAAATTAAATTGCTCTATATGCAAACAAAAATCAGTCGGAGCTTGTATACAATGTCATAAAAATAACTGTTACGTTGCTTTTCATGTTACCTGTGCTCAACAAGCCGGACTTTACATGAAAATGGAGGCCATTAGGGAAGTTACTTCAAATGGAGTTGTAACAAGTGTACGAAAGGCTGCTTACTGTTTAACTCATACACCAACCGATGAAAATGGTGTTAGTTTAAGTGGTGTTTATATTAGTGGGGATGATGATGATTCTAGGTCTAGCTTCATTAAACGAAATCAAAATGAAGCTCTATTCAAAGAAAAGATGCGTAAAGCTCGTAAAATGTTGGCCGAAAAGCGTTCCGTTTTGCCTGTCGTCTCAATACCAACCATCCCAGCTGATAGATTAACTAAAATTGCATCTCTTATAAACATACCTAAACGTAATCAATTCATCCAACGACTTCTTGGTTATTGGACATTAAAAAGACATTCCAGAAATGGAGTACCTCTCCTTCGTCGACTTCAAATATCATATGCGGGAGCAAGAAAAGGCAGTGATTTAAATAATGATGATGAGCAAGCTATTAAATTAAGGGATGAGCTTAAATATCTTCAACGTCTTCGCCAAGATCTCGAAAAGGCTCGACTTTTAGTGGAATTAATAAGGAAAAGAGAAAAATTAAAATTAGAATACATAAAAGTACATCAATTAATTGTTGAGACTAGTTTTCAACCATTGAGTCATCATTTAAGAAAAGTCATCACGCAATTAGAAGCTAAAGATCCCCAAAAAATATTTGCTGAACCTGTAAACACTGAAGAGGTTCCTGATTATCTCACCTTCATCTCCCATCCAATGGATTTCTCCACAATGCGATCAAAAATTGAGTCAAATTCTTATAAAAATTTTTCCCAATTTGAAGCTGATTTTGATTTAATGATTAACAACTGCATGTCCTACAACAACAAAGATACATTATATTATAAAGCTGCCGTTAAATTGAAAGAAGCAAGCAAACCAATTATCCGAGAAGCTAAACTGGCTCTTGAAAAACCTTTTGTACCCAAAACAGAAGACGATTCATCTACATCTCTATCATCTTATCAAACAGCTTCTGAATCCAATGATGTTGACACTAAAGAAGCTGATAATCAAATAACTAAAGAAAAACTTCGTACTCCAGGTAATATTTAAATAATTTTCCATCGCTAAACAAAACTGTTACTAATTTTATCCTTTTTTCTTTCGATTTATTCTCAGCTGGTAGAAAACGGCCAACCAAGAAACACACAGGCTCTCAAAGCAAGAAACCGACAACAACTCCTCATACTGTTCAATCATCTCTAGAAACGCCTCAAGCATCCCCTTTCCCATCTTCATCAGTTCCCCAAACAGATAGTTTCAAAGTTTATCGATCCATCAGTAAGTAAAAAACTGTCCATATTCCTGTACCATTAGCTTGAGCACTATTTCCCTCTAAAATTTACTCTTCTCTTATTTTGACCTTTCAATCATTTTTTTTAAGTCCAAAGTTTTCCATTCTTTTATTTGTATCTTTTTGTTTATTTTACTCTCTATTTTTATTAGTGAATGCAGCCAGCGATTCAGATTTTAATTCTGAAAGCTCAAGATCTTCAGCCACCACGGCATCAACAGAGTATTCAGGATCATCTCAGTCTTGGACGACCAGCTTACAAGCTTCTTGTAATAGCAAGGCTAGTTCAGAAGCACGTGAAACTCCAACTAACCCTCCAAGTATGTCACTGCTAAATTTAATTTGTGTGTTAAACTATGTCAATGAGCAAAATACCTTCATGCAATTTATCAGAAAACTAATGCGACTCCCTTGTTAATTGTGTTGATTGTCTCACAGGACCAACTTCTCGCTCATCGAGATCTGATATTTCAAATGATAGTCAGAACTTAATACCATTAGAGCCCTTGGACCTAGTATGGGCCAAGTGTCGTGGATATCCCTGGTATCCAGCCCTGGTACGATTTTTGTTTTCCTTATCTGTTTCATTCATCAAAATTTCTATGTTCATCTATGTTTTTTTTTGTTTCGCTTTTTCATGTTCTTGATTGTTTCCTCTTTCATTTCCCTCTGTACTTTCCTTCTCAGCTTCTGCTTCTATTTTAAATTATCTTGCCAGCTCATTTGTATTAACAATTATTTTCAATTAATCTTTTCAGATTGTTAATCCAGACATGCCAAAGACTGGATATTTCCATAATGGTGTCCCCATCCCAGTACCTCCAGATGATGTGCTTGAATTGAGAGCGCAACATGCCGAACCTGTATATTTAGTTTTATTTTTTGATGCTAAAAGAACTTGGTAAGTATTTCATTCTAACTTTAATATTTATCTTTTCTATTAGAAAATTATCAATTCTAATTAATTGTTATTTGTTTACAGGCAATGGCTTCCAAGGAACAAGCTCGAACCTTTGGGTGTATATTCGGGTTTGGATCAAGCCAAGTTGATAGAATCAAGGAAACCAGCAGAAAGAAAAGCAGTTAAAAAAGCCTTCGAGAAAGCAATCGAACATTGTTGTAGAGTTGCCGGAGAACCTCCTGAATCCGGAGAATCAGATGATGAAGATTAATTTCAAAATCAATCAAAAAAGTTAAATTTTGTGTATATTAATTGAAAAAAAGAAAACATTGTAAATAGCAAAGCAAACAAACCTTCTCATCTCTCCTTAATTATTGTTTTCCCACTCTCCTCAATCTTCCTCACACTCTCTTCTTCAATTCCCAACTCGATGTAAATAATCGTACAAATTAAGTTTTGTCTATTCCGTTAATAGAATCAATTAGGTTGAAAAAAAGAAACTCGTTGACTTTCGTTTCAAATTTACATGAGATAGTCCAACTATTAAGTGATTATGTTTCAAACAAAATTAATAACAAGACTATCCTCTTAATAAAGCAATGATGCAAACTTATTTCAGTTTAACTTGACAGAGTCAAGTAGGAAAGGATCAATCACAGAGTAAAAATTGAAACACTTTGGCAGAAACTTTCATAAGAAACAATAAAAACAGTTACTGTTTGATTAAAATTGTCTCATTCATTCGACAAATATTTTCATAATAATATACAATATTGACTAATCATTCAGAACTAAAGATTAGTTCAGCTTTCAATTTCAAATGTTGCCAACAAGTTTGGTGTTCAGCAAGTGTCTCCACCTGTAATTCAATTTCCGAACCTCTATTAAGACTGTTTTCATTGTTTAAAATCTAACGCTAATTAGTATTCCTCTTGATTCTCCTACAAATCCAAGGAAATTTGTAAGCTTATTTAACCGGTTTGAGTTTAGATAATCGTGAAATTAAAATAGTGGAAAGTGATTGTTGCATTAAAAGTCGATTTTTTATTGTTATTAACAAGTTTACTTGTGAAGAGTTTATGAGCTAACATTGTCATTGTTACTAACATTGTAAACATTTGTCTTTGTTTGTTTATTGAAATCATCACCACAATTGAATGATAATAAAGAGCTTAAATACATAAACAAGGTGAAATTTATAAGGGAAACAAAAGGGGAACTAAAAATTGATGAACATGAATTATTTGATGTTATAATTTTGAATAATTTTACGACATTAGGTGATAGTTTATGATTTGGATAATGATCATGATTATGATGATGGTGATGGTGATGGTGATGAAAGAGAATCAAATAGTAGCGTTGCTTTAGGGAGGAGATAGAGGATGATACTCGGAATGAAATTGTATTCAAAGAGAGTAAATTGGCAGCAAAGTTTGCCAATCAAATCAATAATTATTTATAATCTATATATTATTTGAAAGGATGATCACCTAATAAATCACAATCAAAATGGGAGACAAACAAATGAGAAACAAATAAGTTAAAACACAAAACAGCAAGGTTGATGATTGAATCCTTTTCCAGTCAGCTTTAACAAGTGGAAATGGTTTTCACAAAAGCAAGTGCAAGGCAAGTAAAGGGTGTATTGTTTAAGAGTGAAATTATGTGAGCAAAAGAGTAAAATTTACTTATCTGACTGTGGTGATTATGACGATAAATATGTTGATAAGATGAAGATAAACGTGAAAATGGACAATGATGAAAAATGCATCATATTTATCAACATCTTTATCATCATAATCACCACAATCAGGTAAATAAATGTTGCTCTGTTTGCTCCCATAATTTCACTCTTAAACAATACACCCTTTATATGATTGCCAATTTTACATTGTTTATCGTGTTGATTGTGATTATTATTTAGATTTGTTGTGACCATGCCAAGTTAACCACCAAAAAATTATTCCTCCATATCAAGGTGATTTACTATGGAATTGTAAACTTGCTCGAATATCTGGAACTTTTAACATTGACAAATCTTGAATATTATCATAAATATCTGGATAGTACATGGTTTTTACATGATTTTGTAGATCATTTTTCGTTTCTTCAACTTCTCTTTTCTGTTTAGCTCGTCGATTTTGGAACCATGTAATCACTTGAGGACCAGTTAGACCCAATCGAGAGGCTAAATCATCACGATCAGCTGGAGAGAGATACCTTTGCTGGATAAATTTCCTTTCCAATTCAAAGATTTGAGTGTTGGTAAATGCAGTTCGAGATTTTCGCTTTTTCTTTGGAGGCGGACGATTGGAAAAGATATTTAAATGATCGCTGGATCCATCTATAATTAAGAGCAAGAAGAACGAAAAAATTGATTAATAAATTGTTAGAGATAGAAAAGATCAAATGTGTGAAAAAAGTTAATCTAATCATTCGGTTATTATTTTTGTTCTGTTGGTTTTCAAGATGATTGTAATAAACAATTGATTGTAAATAGAGAGCATCAATCACTCTTCATTTACGCCCTGCAACAGAAAATTATTCAGATGATCTCAACTATCATGGTAAAACGCCTTTGTTGAGGCTATACAATCAACCTAGGCGTAGTACCTATAAGTAACCAAAGACTAGGCTACTATTAAAATAAAAATTTCTGTCAGAGGAATGAAAAGTATACCGATTGGCGAGGAAATTGGTTGAATAGTGAATTTCATGGCTTTCACGAAAAGTTATGATTCATATAATAAAAGGATAATCTGTTCAAGATGTTCACGTCAGTATAGAATAGAAGGCAACCTGAACAATTGATACACCATTAAAGCTATTTATCGGTTGATTGAGACTCAAGAATCTTGTAATTTGAGTTTTCAGGCTCAAAAATGCCATCAAAAATGAGCCAAATTTGACAATCAAGATGATACCTCTAAATCTGACAACACTTATTATTGCTCCGGAAAGGTATGTGTTGAAGAAATGAAATCATTAAATGGTTACCAGATGAAGTGTCAAAACTGAATGGTAAGCAATTAGTGTCAAACACGTTAAATTGAGTTTACAATTGGTATAAACTTTGATATAGGGACAAGGGGAGGAAAAAGCAAACTTGGCCGACAAAGTTTACACATTTCTGTAACCAAACTAAGTGTTATAATAATACAAATTAATAACCATGTTAAGTAACTTGTTTTAGGCATTAAATCAAGTGACACTCTGTATTTTATGGGAATAGGAAAAGAAGAAAGAAAGAGAATTATGGTGATGATGAAGAATCATGGTTATAGTGATGATAGTGTAAGTTGAACATGAAAATGTCAACTTCCGTGGATATATATTAGACGATTTGTAGAGGAAAAGTTGAAGAGTAAAGAAGGAGAAAGTGAAATGATGATGATGAAGAAAAACTTAATAATGAGTCGGCTTGTTGACAAATGAAGATAATTAGAAGCTAGATTATGTTCTGTTTTTGTTGGTGTTGATGTCAAAAAAAGGATGAGACAACGTTTTGAGAGAGAGAGAGAAAGAGAAAGAAACTGTAAAGGAAATGACTGTAAACCAAATCAAGAGTTTCGCTTGAAGAGTAATAATAATGTTGAAACTGACAAAATAACATAAAAGTCAAAGGAAAGTTACAGTCGAAAGGTAAAAGTTTACAGTGTGACCATCAAGTTATTTACTTTAAGCCGAAAAGGAGAAACTGTCAGGAAAATATAGAAAGACATTGAGTAGGCAAACAAACGTACACGAATACAATAATATACACATTGATTTAGTTTCTTTGACATGTTTGTTTGAATCACCAATTATAAAAATTAACGATGAAAAGCCATTGATAATGGATCCAACATTCAACCATATTTGATGTAATTTAAGCACATTAACGGCACAAAGAAGCTTAGCACAAGTTACAAAAAAAGACAACTGTGATTATTAATAGACATCTGATGATCATGAAGATGAACACAAAGGTAGACAGATACTTAATGTTGAATAGTTTATCAATTAGTAAATCATTAGCTGTATTTACATTAAAATTGCTATTAATGTAAATTCATTAATTTATCACAAAAGGCAAACAAAATGTCGGCTGACATTAGCAATGGATGACAAAAGAAACAAAAGCCTTATTAAAGAGTCGATAGATGTCAGTGTTTGATAAGGTTGAACAACATTAATTTAAGGTAAACAGAAAATTGAATTTCAATAAACAATTCAATTGTAATTGTAATTGTAAAGTCTGCTGTATTTATCCGTTGAATCTTCTATCCTTGGATACTGTCAACAATGAAATGTTAAAATAAGGCTGCTTCACCGTAACTGATTGATAATAAGAAATTATTGCTGAAAATTATTTCCATTCAATTTTCATTTCATCTTTCACCAATTCATTTTACCTGTTTTCCTCTCCACCTCAACAGTTAAACATACGAGTAACCATATAACATCATCAAAATTTAATCAGACAAACCGTGAATAAAAATAAATGATCCAATTTAAGCAGAACCAGACTGAATGTTTCCCTGCCAGAGGTCAAAACAAAGGTGAAAAAGACTGGAAAAAGACCAACAATAATCAGAATAATAATCATCTCAACAGTGATTTACACTTGAAGGTAAACCATTGTTATTGTATCATTGAATAAATAATAATATTAGTGCAAAAGAAAAACAAATGTCAAGTTTTAATTCGTTTAAATTTAACCATATTAAGCTAAACGTATTGTGTGTGTACCTTGCATGTAATGATAATGGTTTACCATGCAATTTACTCAATCAAAAGTGATCAATTTAACCGCACCCAATTAGACCATATTTAGTTTGATTTTACCATTAATTTACAGCTTCAACTTTCAGTTGACTAGACGATGAGATTCAAGATGAAAACAATAAACTGATTAAATTTAGATTGATTGTTGACGTGATTGCAAGAGCTAACAGGTTAACCATTTTTCAATGGTTGACCAAACAGTAAATATTAAATTGCAAAGTAAAAGAATCAAAAAATGTATCAATAACCGAATGTAATTGAATGGGTAAATTACGCAAATGAAAATGGTTAACATTGAAAATGAGTAAACAATTTCATTGAAACATTTACTCATTAGCAATTGATAATCTCATCACTGATGAGGATAACATTGATTAATGATTATCACAATCAGTGAAAAAAGTGAAGAGAAAAATAGATTGCAATCAAGAAGGAAAAAAATGATCCAAGAATGGTGAGGATTGAATACAAAAATGGTGATGAATCAAGAGGCGGAGGAATCATTGAGGAAGGAGGATGAAATGGAGGATAAAAGATGCTTCACAGAATTTTCCATCTTCCTTTTCATCATTTTTTTCTGGCCTTCTTCTTGTTCATCATCATCTTTGCTTCCCTCTTTTGCCAGCCTCTTTATCCTGCATTTCCTGGGTATCTCTTCCTATAATAGTTCAATGGTTCTGAGTCTGTCTCGTTGGATATCAAATCAATTCACTTGAATTCATCATTAGCATTTTCAATTGTTCATCTATCTAGACCATAATTAATCTAAAAGTTGAGGGTAAAAGAAAGAAACAAGTTAGATTAATATTGTCTACTGTTAACACCAATTGATCAAGGCAGAGGAAAGGCAAAGGTTAAATTGTTATTCAACTGGAATCACTGAATAATAACTAATAATGTAGAGCCCAAAAAATTGTTTAGCTTCTTCCATTTGGCACAGTTGATTAACTTGATTCTTTACTTTGCTTTTTCCTCTTCCAATCAATTAGTTAGTTAAAATGTTCAACTGCAATAAAGAAAGAAATAAATACAATTATTAGTATGATTAATATGATTAGGCTGTTAAATGGTCAACATGATTGATTGCTGAAACGGTTAATTGATAAAAAATGAATTTGCTTTTGATAACAATATTGATTGTATGAAATGTTTTGGAAGCATGAAAATGTTCAATTGTTGAACAATTTTATGATTTTTTTGGGTTCAACATTTTTCTTGTTGTGTGATAATTTTGATGACACACACAAAAAAATGGTTAACACCGTAAACATCAAGTTATTTCAAGTTCAACACAATACGATGCAGCAATTGACTTTACTGCCCACTAATCCGGTTACACTAATTGTGATCACAAAAGGTTTTACAATCAATGGCAATCTAATGAATCAAATAAACAAGAGAAAATGAAATGTTGAAAAAAAGGTTAAAGATGAAGGGAAACAAATATGAGGATAAATAGAGAGTCGAAGCGGTATTGAGATAAATTGTTTAAAGTCTATTTGTCAACAGGAATGTGTTCAATGATGGTGATGATGATGAAGGACAGAAAATACTTGAGCTTCATTGAATTGGACAGAGAAGAGGAGAAATGGTGAGAGAAGATGAACAAATGAAAGAAACAATTGAATAATAAATAGACTGAAGACGAGAAATTCAGAGAATATGAAAAGCGTAAAAAAAGACGCAAATCAATGTAGATCCAGAGTTAGCTTTTTTTATCTAGCAAAAGAATCAATTTTAGGCTTTGCTGGGTTGAAGGTTTAAAGTGGCATGAAATAAGTGTGATAACAAAAGAGTTGATGAAGGATCAAAATGAATTGCTCAGGAAGATGATGATGATCGAGAAGGTTGAGAAAAAAACACATTCCCTGACTTTTATAGGAGTGAAAAGGTATAAGGTTGCAACAAGAAGATATCTGAATGATTATCATAATGGTAGATAATCTGACATTCAAGTTAACAGTCAATTGGATGGAAAGTGAATGATGATCCAAGTGAGATCATGAAAGGTGGATGAACAAGAGTTTCTCCATGAGAATCATCATCATGATGGTTAAAGTTGAGGATTATGTTTGAAATTGACAGAGGAAAATGTAATAACATTGAGATCAACAATTCAAGTTGTAAATGTTGATTGAAACTTTGATTATCTTTTTGGAAAAGATTTTTTCTTCTTTCCTTTTTTTCTCCTTCTTCTTCTTCTCACCAAGTTTGATATAAAAATCATCCTTTTCATCCTAAGTATATCATGTTTCATGATTGGATTTAGCCTTTTTCAATGGGAAGAACACAAAAATGGCATTTTGTGTTCATTTATCAGAGAAATGAGAAATGAAAGAATCTGATAATAAAGTGAAAGAAATGATAATAATGATGATGATACCGCAAAAATAGTTTTTGTCATCATCATCATCATCATCATCAGTTTAAGTGACATAATAGAGATGATGATGGATGAAATTAATGTTCAACACAATTATTAGATAAATAACAAACAGGTAAAGTGTACAATTAAATGTAAACAGCACAATGTAACAAATAAAAGGTGAAAAATGAACCTTTTTTTGCTGCTTTTTCAAGGGACAGTAAAAAAAGGTTTACACAGAGAAATGGTGAAAAAATGAAAGTGTAAATGATACTTGGATAAATAATCATCATTATCATTATCATCACAATTATTATTGTTGTTAGTTTAGTCGGTGTTTAATGAGAAGAGTAAAATGGCTTAACTGTATTGTAATGGGATGAAGAGTAACAAGAATGGTGAAGAAGAGCAAGAATACAAGGAAAGGAGAAAAAAACGAAACAATTTATTTCTTTTATTTTCATTATATTATTGGCTGTGAGCATTTTAATTTTGCGCCAAATTAACCTGAACCATCAACAATTTATACATCAATCTAAATACCTTAGGCTTGACTAAACATCAACAACAATTTTCTCGTTTTTTTTTTCATACTTTTCCACTTGATTCTTGCTCTTCACCATTGCATGTAACATTTTACAGCTCCTTATTGTTCAATCTCAGGCTTCATCTTTTTTTTGTTGATGTTCACACTTTTCTCAATTTATTTTGAGAATGAAAAGCCTAAGCAGGAGGAAAAAAATGAACATTCAGAAGCTAAAGCTCTTGGTACTAATTAATTACAATGGGTAAATTGTAATTAATTTTGGGTTTACTCCATTTTACAATTGTACCATTGGAAAGATAAATGGAAACGGTGTTAATTGTAAAATAAGACTCAATAAAATTTGAGGTTTCCTCTTGTTTTTGGATGCTTTTTTTGCTTCTCTCACAATGAAACAATTCAATTCAACTCTACCCTTTACCATCATCTTAATTAAATGCAAACATTTCAATGAGTTAATGGAAAAGTTGAAATTGTTGCACATTTGAACCATACTAGTTGATTAACGTTTATAATTAACATTATTGGTTCATCAGTGTAAAACTAATGTTGCAGGTAATCATGGATGGTAATGGGTAAAGTTAAATTGAACAAAAGTTGACTTTTAACAATCAATTGTTGGTTAAATTGTTGAGTGAAAACTGAACAACAGCAAAGCAAATTGGTTCACTTTTCACGTTTCACCTTCTCGTTAATCGATTCAACATTATACAAATCATTCAAGTGATTATGACCATCATGATAATGATAATAATGGTGATTAATTCACCCAACCATGATTTGCATCTGCGTCTGTTGATCCAAGTTAAGCCCAAAATTTTACTTTTCAGGAAACATCATTTTTCATAGACTATATTCATATGAACATGAAAGAAAAAAGAAAGAAGGCAAAGACGGTTAGAGTATCATGATAAAGTATAAGTGTGACAGATAAAATTACCATCAGGAGTCAGGATTATTGTTGAGATTGATGATCATTCACTTTACAACCTGATAGTTGATGATTGAGCTCATTTTTCTTGAACACAAAATGTTCAATAATTTACCTATACTTAATGATATTAACTTGGAAAAGAGTTAAAAAAAAAGGTTAATAATAGGCAATAATAATGTTATTATGATGAAACTAGAAGAGGTTCACATAGGCATGTAAACTGTTGTAATTTTAATTACAACATCAACATTGGTCTAATCATTTAACAATAATTGTCGGAAAAAAAAACTTGCAATAATAGTGAAAGTTAATAGGAAAATTTAATTGTTGTAAGTTGCTGTTGTTGCTGATGTCAATGATGATTATTATTATAATGATGATGAGGAATAGTAATAATTAACATAACGATAATGGAAATAATAATAATAATAATAATAGCAATAGTAATGATGATGATGATGATGATGATAATAAATAAGAATAGCAATTGAATAAAAAGGATGAGAAAAGTTTCAGGGTTAGTTGACTGATGATGCTTGAAAGAATCATGAATTAACACGCCCTGAATCGAAGTTCAATAAAATGTTGATTGTTGATCTGTCTTTCAATGTAATTGTTGTAACTTTTGGGTTTAATTTGATAAAACGCGAAAAAAGTTGAACACTGTGTGGTCTTATTGTAACAACGATTTCCCTTTGAAATGTAACCTTGTTTTGTTTTGTTTTTGGCCAGATACGAAAATATTATCATTCCTATCTTTTTCATTAGCTTTATCGTTATCACCATCATCATCTGTTTAGGTTGAGTTTAAGTAGCAACAGCAACTTTAACAGTAAACATCTGTAAACAAGAAGAAACAAAATTGAAAGGTTAAATTAAAGGTTAGATGAAAGGTTAAATAGATCAATTGTATTGAAATGATTAATATTGACGTTTGATGGTGATGATGATTGGTAAGGCGAAATCATTATATTAATGTAAAGTATGTGATAAAAAAGGCAGAAAATTGTAATAACTTGAGAAAAGGTTAGCAATAAAACAAAGCGTGTAAACCAATGAACATCATCTCATCAACAGTCAACTACACAGACCATGAAAATCAATGATAATAATGGTAGAGAGTGTTTATAGTAATGATACAGGACCAAATTGATTGTTAATGGTTAACATTTGTAATCACCTTGACTTTTTTTTGCGCATCTAAAGATCTGAAGAGTATATGGAATGGTCTATAAAAGGTGCACATGGAAAGGTAGAAAAAATGAAAACACTGAATGAGTAAATAAAATGAATCTAATCAATTAAATGAAATCTTCTTGGTTAGGGGAAAATAAAAGTTGAAGCTAATCAAAAGTTTGCCTTGTTTTCACACGATCAAACCTCTTCATGATCAACATAATGAGAGAATGAGTGAATGGATGATAACAAAGCGAAAGAAGATGATTCTGGGTGAAAATTGTGATTTCTTTGAATCATGTGATTACCTACCACATAGAATTATGGAATTCAGGGAATGTTATTAATAAATAATTGTACGGAGTGAAAAGTCGCAACATTAACTAAACTATCCATAGACGTGATAGAAAGGTCTCTTTTTTCAGGTAACTTTCTATCAAATTTATCATCATCATCATCATCATCATCACTATTTTCATCATTCTTTTCATCATTCTGCGTGAATGAGACACTATATCCGTAAAGGTAAATTTTGATGATTACAGTATAGCATTACAGGTTTACAATGGTATGAATGGCTAGAGAAAGATGATAGTGAAAGAAGACGGAGAGGATGAAAAAAAACTAGTTGAGTGAATGAGTACTTTGCTTGCTTTCTTGCCATGAATGAGAAAAATCTTTGGGTTGTAAGTGTGTGTGAGTGATATCAAGTGTCGGCCTTTTGCTTTGAGGTTAAATTAAAAAGCGTATCCGAGAGAGTAAGTTACCAATAAAGTGCTAGAATCACTTGGCTAAGGTAATAAGATGTGATGAAGGCATTGTTGATGGTGATGATGATATCGAGATTCTGATTGAAGATTTACTCACCCACTGACTTGTGTCCATTGATACGATCAAAGGCTTTACTGGTCAATTCGTAGAGACATTCTAGAGGTGAGTTTTGAGGAAGTAAATTTGAGTTGGCCGGTGAATCGGGCCCACCTGTTGTTGCACTAGATTCTGATTGTGAATCATCGTCAGCAGATCGAGGTCGTATAAGATGGTTGGCTTGTAGTTGAGCGTAAAGATGATGAAGATGAAGATGATCTCTGGAACTAGGGAGTAATCCATTGGAACAAAAGGCTGATTCTATTGATCCTGTGGTGGTTGTTATCACCTGAATTTGTTTACCAAATTCAGGTGATAAAATGTTGGAAATTGAAAATTTTAAACTTTTGATTGGATTGGTGGTTGAAACCATGTTTGCTGATGAAAACAAAGTAAGATTTGAACCACCACAACTCAATAATATTTGGACACAAGTAAACAGTGTAAAAGCTAAAATGATGATGAGGATGATGATGAGAGGGAAAACAGGGAAAAGAGGAACAGCCTTCACGTTTAGCTCCAACCCACCTTTTTGCTTCTTTTACTTGTTGGAAGAAAAAAAGTTTACACCAAAATGATGATGATGATGATGAGAAACTTCTCATGCGTAATTGGCTCTATTTCAAGTTTCTCTCTCTCTTCTCTTCTCTTCTTCTCTTCTATTCTCTTCTATTCTCTTCTATTCTCTTCCTTTCTCAATGTGCATTGTCCCATTGGTTCATCATATTATCTTCATATTCATTTCCCTCTCCATCCTTTTTTTTCATTCAAAAAATGATATTACAATCATCTTTAAAAAGGACCACAATATTCAAAAGGTAAACCAAACTTGTATGCAATTATTGACTGTTTATATCATTAATTTTGATCTTTGTTTATCGGTGTTACTTTTAAAGAGATAAAATTTAACATCATTAACTTAACTGGATAAATTAATTATACTATGATTACTTACGTGATGACTATCATATCAAATTAGACCAAATGTTATTAAAAAAACATTTGGTATCAATGAAAACAATTGATTCAGTGATTGCTCATGATCAGTTGAAATAGGTTTATTGATCATTACTATCGACTAAAGTTAACCAATTGAACCCGGTAAACAATGCCCATCGTTGACCAATTGATGAGAGGGAAAAGCGGAAAAAAGTAAAGGGAAAAGTTAACACACACACACAAATGTTAACAATAATCGTGATTTTCAACTTAAAACATTGAAACTAAATTTGCACAATAATAAGTTTAACCAAGTTGCTCAGCTGCTTTTCATCTCTACCTTTTGATATCTTATTTAGTAGATGATTACTATATCACTATTAGCATTACTTTTTACTATTGCTCTCTGGTTTCTCATCTTAATAGCTGTAATGATGAAAAGAAGAAGAAGAAGAAGAAGAAGAAGAAGAAAATGGAAAAAAGGGAAAGATGAATATAAATGATGAGCATTGCGTGATAATAAAGGGCAAGTTACATGCTATTAGATACTGAACAGTCTTGAACAGTGAACATATTAACTGTTTGAAGAAAGGTTGGTGCTAATAAGACTAATGGTCTTTGAGGTGTTGTTGATGGTAAAGATTGTTGCACATTTGTTGCTCTCGGCCATTTAACCAACAACAATTATTAATATACTCTATAAATTTATCTTTGTATAATCATTATACATCGGGCGTGAATTCACGTTTTATCAATAAACTGGTCAACAAAATGAATAACCAGAAAAGTTACACAGAAAACACTGAAAAAAACAGTGAAAAACTTGAAACAGAAAATTGTTTCACTTTGAATCTAAATTATGATTGAAACATTTTCCACTCTCTTAACCATTTCTAGTGACTCAGCTGATTACATTAACCTTGCCCATTCAGCATCAAGATTCATCTTTCAAAAGGTAAACCAAACTTGTATACAATTATTGATTGTTTATATCATTAATTTTGATCTTTGTTTATCGGTGTTACTTTTAAAGAGATAAAATTTAACATCATTAACTTAACTGGATAAATTAATTATACTATGATTACTTTATGTTTTATTTTGATTGCTAATTGCTTACCATTTCAACTCTTCTTGATTTTGCTTTTAAACAGGTTAACTGAATTAAAAATGGGTTAATGATGTTAATCATTTTTTCTTGTTTTGTCTCGTTAATTTAGTTAACGATTGTTGACCAGCAAAATTATTGAATTTTATAATTTTCGACTTTTACTTTTCTCCTTTTTGAACAAATACAATTGTAAAGTGTAAATTGAGTTTGTAAAGCTTAAGGATAATTAGGTTAAACTGTGCTATCATCATCATCATCATCATCATCATCATCATCAAATTAATCAAAGTTTCATCAGATTTGATTTATAACAAGTTGAGAACAGGCTCGATCTGATTTTGTTCAACTTTTTAAATTGAAATTTTTTTCCCTAAAATTAATATTATCTCACAAACTAACTAGAAAACTGATATTCTTGGAATTTCATCTCTTGACAAGCAACCAAAATCAAGGGAAACTGTTTTCAACCGTAATTAGAGAGCAGTTAGATTATTATCATGATGAATATTGTGATGAGAAAAAAAGTGAATATTGTTATAAATTTATTGCATATTAATGATCCTGTGAAGGTTGAAAAGTACAATCAAGTAAAATTGGTTTGACTCAAAATTTTCAATTATTCATTGAATAATATGCATTCACTTTATCTCAATTTTTCTCCAGTCATAAGCTGTTGAAGTTAAGTATACAGCTTGATTTGAATCATTGTCACATATCGATTTTACAATTTTCACAGGTTCTGTCAGGGAAGACGATTGAAAGCATACACTTTAAAGGATAAATATTTTGCACACACCTATTTAGCTTACTTTCTATTGATCCAATGATAAGAAGTTTAAATTATAAATTAATTAACCTCGCTAAACTGGTTAAAATTGAATATTTTCGAGATGAATAGATTATTTTTAATGCAATGTTCAACTACACAGATCAACCAAGATGATCAGATTAATCAACTCAAAAGGTATTTCTAGTTTTATTTATGGCAAGGTGTTTGAAATGAAGAAACAAAAATCATTCTCTTCGAGTTGAAAATTTCTCGATTTTCAGTTTATACCACAGTTAACAAATAATCAACTTGGTCTCAAAAAGCGTTTAGGACTTAACAATAAGGTGGATTATCAGCTTCTAAATTATACTTTGAAAGTGGTGAGGGAAGAATACCCTGTTATTCTCAAAAACATTGCTATCACATTCAAATTGTCCGAGAAGATAATACGTAAAGTTTTGAAAAGTCAAGGAATTTCGCTTCGAGTTACACGAAAGGTTCCGTTACTGAATGAATTTAAAAAAATCGATCATTCAATTGGTCAATTCAGATGAAAAATAAAACCATTGGATTCTGGATAAAGTTCTTTTTTTCTGATGAAAGTTTAGTTAAACAATTACCTAATAAGAGAATACAATTTGTATGAAGAAGAAGTGGTGAGGCTTATGATCAAAATTTCTGAACAGCATATTTTCGTGAATAACTTTTGAACCAATACTTCAAAACGGTTTTTCTCATTGTAATCAGCGCTTATTCGGTTGTCATTTGACAATATGCTCAAAGTGCCAACCTTTACTAGCGATCGTTCTGACACGAAAAACGCAAAATATTGTGTCAAAATGAAAAATTCGAGAATCGAAGTTTTTCTTCCTACGCCTTTATGGCCTCGTTGCAAGGCTGTTTTGACCCTTCGTGGCATTTTGCCAGTTCCGTTCAGTGGCTTTGATGTTTTTTGTAGAGATAAAATAGTTTTATAAAAAAATGTGCCACCTTGCCGCTAAAAAAACGTCATTATTCAAAATTCAAATTTTTACTAGAAACTATCGTAAAACTCAACCGACGGCTCCAGAAATACCTAAAAAATTCGTTGGCTATAACTATTACAGTTGTTGAGAAAAAGCGGAAAATATGCTGAACGTGACTTTTGCCACTTTTTTTATTCAGATCTTTGATGAGATCACTGTTATTAAATTTTACGCACAAATATTAGACGCTCATCAATACAATAACAAATTACACGTGAAAATTAAACACTTGCTGTTGACCATTTATATCAAAAATCAAGAAAAAAATATTCCATTCTCATGAATTGTGCACATCTTTTCAACCGACCTTCCTTGCGGTGAAATATGCAGAATAGTTGCGAGCTTTTCAGCTTATTGTCATACACTACAGGGCATTTACTATGTTTATGAACAAATTTAAATCAGCGCCTAATGAAGGGGTTAATTTTTTTGATAAAAGAGGGTAGGCATATCTATTGTTTATGCTTCTGGCTATCTATTTATGTCAATTAAAAATTTAAATTGTTAATTATGCCTAAATTATTTAGTGAAATTATCGAAGGTAAAATTTTAGCTCTTTCGACTGAAAATTATTCATATTCAGTGATAAAAAAACGTTTAAAGTCTGAAAATATCAGTGTCTCTACTGGCTTTATATCGAATGTGATCAACCGTAATGGAAAAATTCGAAAGTGTAAAGACAACGGAGAAAAATTTGAGTATAAACGATATCGACCAATAAGGAGTAAACAAATGATTTCAAAAGTGGACAAAATTTGTGAAAATTCTGATGTTCCGACACAAAGTGCAATCGCTAATAGGCTAAATTGTTCAACCTCCACCATCAACAAAGTCATTCATAAGGATTTAAAATGTAAAACAAGAAAAAAAATCAAAGGTCAGCAATTGAATGGTCGCCAAATGACGAACCGTAAGAATAATGCCAAAAAGTTACATTCAGAAATTGTTCGACCTGATAATTATGAATTTCTTGTAACTCTCGATGAATCATGGCTATATCTTCAAGATTTCAATCAAAAAAATGAATTATGTTATTTGAAAAAAGGACAAACAATTGACAACCAAGATGTCATAACAAGTCATGAACTTGGGGGGAAAAAAATAATGACGATCGGTATTTTGACCGGTAGAGGGCCTTTGCCTTTAAAGTTCGTGACCAATAATGTCAAAATTAATAGTCAATACTATTGTAATGAAGTTTTAGCCCCCTTGGTCAAAGATTGGCTACCAAAGCTTTACCTGGAAGGACTTGAGAAAGTTTTTGTTCATCATGATGCAGCGCCATCTCATGTTTCATTACACTCAAGAAATTTCATGGAAAAATTATCGAAAGATTTCAAAATTTCATTCATTCAGAAAGAGGACATCCCGATCAAATCACCAGATGCAAGTCCATTGGATTTTTTCGGGTTTGGCTACCTGAAACAGCAGCTTCGCCGGCGGAAAGTTACAACCTTAAATGGCTTACGTAGAGCTGCAAATGACGTCTGGTCGAAAATCGACTCAGAAATGGTCTTGAGAGTGTTCGATTCATGGAACCGTAGGCTCAAAGAAATCGTCAAGAATAATGGAAGACATATTGAACAAACAAAAAATATTCATAGAAGAGTTTTATCTGAAAAAAACTGATTAAATTTGTTCATAAACATCGTAAATGCCCTGTAGTAGTCAGGGTTAAGTTAACAGATTTTCATGCCAGGCGCGACAGCTTTTAAGGCGCCGTCTACCCCTTGCTACCTAGGTGTTTTACCGACCCATAGGCGCTAGGCTTTATCCAGCTTAGC